AGCTGAATATTGGCATTGGGTGTCTCCAAGGTAGTTGGCCAACTCAACTTTATGGAAAGGACAGATGTGACTGGGTCCTCTCCCCCACCTGCCCCCAGACCAGTTCACCCCACTCCAAAGCAGATCAAAAGCAGCTCATATCATTATGCTTTTGGGAGGTGTCCTAGTTCAGTGTGGTTCTGGAGAGAGCAGAAATGAGGGAAAGCTGGTCCTGATCTGACCATGACGCAGAGCATCACACAGACTCACAGGAACAGGAAGTTCAGGTACATGTCTACTTTTTTTTTTTTTTTTTTTTTTTTTTTAACAGAAGGCGAGAAGAGGCACAGAAATTCTTTAAGGCTTGAAGGGAAATCCTAAGAGGGCCATGAGGTTCAGTCTGCCTAACTTATGAGAGGGCAAGCTATGTGAGGACTTCACTGCAGTAACTGAACACTTCTTGGGGGGAGGGTACTGGCTACTCAAGGCTGTCCAAACCCATACAGCAAGAGACAAATGTTATATATTATATCTTTACCATCAGCACAAGACAGCTTTTATGGATTAGAGGCAGTATCAGCAGGAGAGGATGAACTGGAATGGAAACTGTATCACCTATTGGGCAGGGAAGGCATGCTACTGTGAGATGTTGCAAGGATTCAAGTTGCCTTCAAGTGGCCAACAGTGTTCTCCAAATATTCCCTCCACCCCTCAGAAAAGATGCCTGGAAACTTGTCTTGTGGCAGGAATTGTGGCCAGTGGGACCATGTGCAGGCATCCATAGAGGTACCCAAATTAGACACAAAATCACCCAAAGCTCCTTGTACAGCCATGGGAGCGAGAGTCATCTGAGGTGAGTCAGAGGGTTCTCTCTCTGAAGAGAGAGATTCAGGGAGATTCTCTCTCTTCATTAACTGAATAGGTTCCCAGGGCAAAGGTGGCCCTGATTTAGGCACGTCAGTTGGGTGCTTGCATTTGAGTCTGACAGATCTGAGTCTCAGTTGTTTGCTTCTGTATTGCATGCTCTTTGGACTTCAGAAATCACTTTATTTTGGGTTAAATGAATGCCATACTCATGTTGGCTGGCAATAGCACCTCTCTTCTCCAGTCAGGAACATTTGTGAGGTTTAGATCCCACCTGGAAGGAAATGTATGCAATCCAGACCTGTAAAAGCAGCTTGCTTTAGCCTGACAAGCCACTGAAAGTTACTAGTGTGCATATAATATTTAGTGATAATTAAAAAATGCAAATAGGAAAAATGTGCTGCCACATGGAGAGAGGGGAATCATCCCTTAAAACACCAAGCTCCAACTCCACACCTCCAATGTCACCCCGTGGTACTTGCCTAAGACAAGGAGGTTAGACTGGGAAAGGACAGAGGCATGAGCCCTAACATCCAGCCTAGAAGCTTAGTATCGACTAATGCCTGGTAGGACAGGACATGGATGAAGGTTACCTGAGCATACGATGCCTGCATCTTCTCCATGATTACAGTTATGGACTCCCCACGGCCTCGCTGCACACTCAGAAAGGGTTGACTCCCTACTGGAGCATTTCACATCGTCCAACCAGATATGGCCAAAACCTTGCCCAAAACAAGCTGAACCTGGGGCAGACATGGCCGTCCCACAGCTTAGCTTCTGGCACACCACTGCAGCATCGCTCAAGTCCCAGCTGTCATCACAGATTGTCCCCCACTGTTGGCTGTGAAGCACCTCAACTCTCCCGGCACGAGTGGGGCCATTCACCAGCCGGAGAGGAGGCACTTCTAGAGAACCTGCACAAAAAGCAACCAATAAAGATAAATGCACACAAATACACTGCACCTGAACCCTGCTGACACAGTGTAGGGGGCGAGTGCCAAGCAGGGTGTCCCATGGATGAAAACTGGATGGCTAAAGAGGACATTTTGGGTGTCCATTCAGGGTTACCCCAAAGTCTGTGTGGCTCTGCACTGCCCACAGACTGGCAGAACTGTCCCAGTTAGGACTGGGAGTGGTATTTCAGTCTCCCTGCCAGTAAGACATGCTAATGCATCCCTTCCAAGCAGGCATGTTTCAGATAGTTTGTTTGAATCGCTGCCAACGCTACAGTGACACAGGACCCTGTGCCTACTCTGTATAAATAGCAATCTGCTGGGCTGAGCTTTGAAATAAAAATATAATGTTATCTACAGACACAACCTGTACAACAGGAGCACTTCAGGAGCCTCCAATTAGGTGTCTTTTCTCATTTCTGATGTGCTGGGGCATCCTTGCCATCCTCCAGCTGTCATGTCAGAAGGGTGTGGGTCTCATGGCTCCCGGCTCATATCAGCCAGCCCCCCATAGATGTCTGCATACTGTTAGGTGTCTTATATAGTGTTAGGTACCTATGTCTGGGAACATGATGCATGCCCAAATAAACTGAGTCACATACGTGAAGCTTCATAGCATCCATCAGTGAACAGACTGGCCAATGCCCATCTTCCTGAAACTTTCTTTTGGCCTTACACATTTCACTCCAGTTACTGCAATATTCACTGTATGTATGCCAGATAATTTGCTAGAGGAATGGCAATGTATATTAATAGACACTTAATCTTCCTTGAAAATTCTCATGGCTGGTAAAGCCAGCTGAATTGGACAATAAATAGTCTTAAAAAGCATCAGCCAACCCTTTCCTGCACTGAAGCAGTGTACCAAATAGAACCAGTCAAAAGGAGAGGTTAAAATAATTTTTTTTAACAAAGGATCTGCCCTGCCCATAGGTGAGAACCCAGCACTGGGTGGCAGCATTTCAACCAGCTCAGCTGCAGGCATGTACTCCTCTTGATGTAGGGAGAGATGACTCCTCTTGAAAGAGCATTGAGTTCTCCTGAAGTTTCCCAAAGCTCTTCATGAAAGGAAGGAGGGACTCCAGGAGATCTCTGCTAGCTTCTCACTCTGACATCTCAGAAATGTAGACAAGAATGGCTAAAAGTTGAGAAAACAGGATGCCTGATTTTAAAGAAAATATTGGGATTGTTTAGGATTGCCCTGAAAGACTATTAGACTAGGTTTTCAAGCCTGGATAAAAGTCTGCTGGTCTGACCTCATAGCTGACCTCACTGTGAGCAGGAGACTGGTGTAGAGACGTCCTGTAGTCCCTTCAACCTGAATTGTCCTACGAGCCTTGCTTTAACAAAGCAAGAGGTTTCTTCAGGACTGCAGATTGCAAGAGAGACTGAAGAGAAAACTGAAAAAGCACTTAGATACAAGCACTGCAAAGACACATTCAGTGGTTTCAGGTTTCTAAAATTCTCTATGAATCCTGAAATGGGACATTTTATTGCTGGTCATGATAGAATGAAATGGACTTCCCAATCAGCCAGAGACCACGACTTGCTGACAACACTACTTAGTTCTACCTGTGATCTTCATGTAAAAGTGTAGACTCGGGGTGGCTTTGTCTATATGACACAACAAGCCTGTACCTCA